ATTGCAGCACTGGGGGATGATTTCTGGAGGTAAACTGGGGGATGTTTTCTGGAGGTAAAGGGGCTTTTGGCGTGGGGCAGCTCCAGTTTATGCTTGGATTCCAGGGATTATAGCATATAAAGCAGCTCCCCCTCTCAAGCAATCCCTGAGTAGAACCAGCTGTAAGGGAAAGGACAGTTATTGAAAAACTGCATGCTAAGCCCAGGCTCGCTGGGGTGGGTGGAGAGACACAATGCAAGGACTGACAAATAGTGGCAGGGTCGAGGGATCAGGCCTTCAAACAATACCAGACAAAAGACAGCAGACCCTGATCTGATGTAGCACTTTCCTCCCTGTTAGATAGGGTCCTTCTCACAGCAGGAAGGCTTTAATGGACCCTAATGGAGTGTTTGATTCCCCTTGGGCTCAGAGCTTTTTACATTAACTGTAGAGTTTCTCGTACCTACATTTAACCAAAACAAACTAGGTGATAGATGACTGGCTGCTGTAGCAGCTTGATGAAAGTGGGTCATGATGTAGAATTAGGATGGAATTGCAGCAGTCTGAAACGAGACCAGTAAACAGCTTTGGAGCAGCTGAAGTCTGTTTTAGCAATGACTATGCATCAAAACTCAACATTTGGCATACTTCCTGCACAGAAAGTGGTGATGATAACTAAACCTTGATATACTTACGTGGTATTAAATTCTTTTTTGGAGATGCACCATGATAATACCATAGTAAGCCATAGTCCCATCTGATCTTCATACAAGACATGCCACATTTCAGTTCTGTCGAACTGATCTGAGAGGTGTATTTCATTTCATTTCATTGAAAAAGGAAGCAAGGTATCTCACAAATTGCTCACAGATTGCATTTATTTTTCATCTGTGTGTCCATTTTTGCGTGATATTATTTATTCTGCAATACCGTCAAATGATGATCCAGACACGGCATCATCATACATTTGAATATTAACAACCAGATGCCACATTTCAGTTCTGTTGAACTGATCTGATGTGTATTTTATTTTATTTTATTTTTAATCCTGTTTTTAATCATGTTTTTAATCTTGTTTTATCCTATTTTAATATATTAAAAAAGGATGCAAGATGTCTCACCAATTGCACACTGATTCATTGATTTATAATCTTTATGTCCATTTGTGCAGCATTATTCATTCTGCAATGCCGTCAAGGCCTTCCTGTGAGCTGCATATGTGTAGTTCCATGAGAGCCTCAGGTTGCTACTGTTGTTGTTTTGTTTAAGATGTTCTAGGAGAAATTGTGTAAAAAATGGCTCGAGTTTCTGTAACCAGAACTGATCAGGGGAATTTGGAAGTCAGATTATTGCCGTCTACTTCCTGAAGTTCCTGTACAGTTGTGAGACTTAAGGTGCTGCAGTCCTCAGTATTTAAGCACTGCTTTGTGTTCTGGTCCTTGGTTTTATTAATAACAAACACAACTGATTTTCATATTAGAAATGGTTTCAGTATACAGTGTGTGTGTTTATATGTATGTGCTTGGAGAATGAGTTCATACGGTCCAGGGCTGCAGGGCTTCCTGTAAATCACCCCCTGCTGCGCCCTGGCCCTCTCATCCTCCTGTCTGTGGCACACTGAGGACCGGGGGTTAGAAATGAGCATTCACGGTTATAATAACCGCAGTGAACTTTGTTTTGCCTTTGCCCTGCCAGTGGAGTATTTTGGCAGTTGTCACAGGACTGCCTGGGTTTGTGGTGACTGCACTATATCATTATGACTAGCTGTGTTACCTCAGGATTTCCAGCTTCGTCTGTGCACTCTAAGCTGTAGTGAGGTGCATTGTGGGTCATACTGGTTGTTATGGTGATTTGGCAGGCCGGTTGTGCTCTGTGTTCCAGTGTTGGTCCCTCTCCCCTTTCATTAGGGACTTGTGATTCGGCTTAGCGAGTCCTGGAGTGTCGGGACGGGAAATCCAAGCCCCCCTCCCGTCTCCTCTCGCTTTCATTCCTCTCTTTTGTCGTGAACCGCTCTCCCCTCCCTTCTCTGTATAATTACTTTACCACATAACAGAGCAGAGCTTGTGACCTCCGCAGTACAGTCGTTTCTTACTGATCAGACACAAATTGCAAGATCATTTATTGCACTGATTTTGGGCAGAAGTCTGTGGAGTGTTCTTTAACATTGTTAATGTGTTAAAAGGGTTGTAGTGCACATAAGCATTGTCAAATTAGCCAAAATATAGCCAAGAAATCGTTTTGCTCACTATGGATGCTCAAGAAATAGGCTATATTATTATCAGTGTTGAAAAGTGCAGCATTTATTTGAAATAGAAATCTTTCGTAACATTATAAGTGTCTTTACTGTCACTTTTTGATTATTTGAAAGCATCCTTGATGAATAAAAATATTTATTTTAGAGAAATTGTACTGACCTCAAACTTTTTTGAATGGTAGTGTAAATATTAAATTTTTGCCCTTTTTGTCTGTCTTCCCATCTGTAGTCTTTCCTTATTTCTTCAATATTAACAGAAGTTCATGAGCATCTGTTACACATTGCTTGATGTGTCCTCGTCAACCACACTGTTGCTAATTTATGCGTTTCAAAATGATCTCTGACACTTTTATTGACAAAATAAATACGACACTTCCGTTATCGTCCCGTTTTGCTGTGCACTAGAACATTTGTTCTTAAAGTGGCACAGAGATCGGCTGAAACCCTCCCACTGTGGCTTATCCTCACAAACACGGGCCCCCTGGCTGAGCCAGTCACTGGAAGCTGAAGTATAAATGCTTTCTGACAGAGCTGCTCCTCCCTCGGCACTCTGCAGAGGTCAGCACTTCAGTTCACGCTCGGAAAGACGCCACCGTTGAAGTGTGTCACTGTACTGGACAGGATAAACGCATTACTGGGTGGTTGCAAAGGATGAAAGCTGCATGTATTGCGTGTAAGGGGGCAGACACTGGTTGGGACAGATTAGCATTAGCCGTGTGTTGTAGAGAGGCGGGCTGCATAAGGGAATGTGTTCCTCTGACCTGTTTGAGAGTTAATGATTATAGCAGGCTGAGTGTGGCCAATACGGAAAAAAAGAAGGCAGGGAAGACATTTAGGTGAGGACATTCATGTTCACAAAACAGCGATGAATAACATGACTGGGAACATGTGAAAGGCAACGTGTGTTCTATTGATTTTTGTCCAAGTCTTTTGTTTTCATCTTAAAAAACAAAAAAAGAACCCCTCTGAAAATGTCTGGCGTTGCTCCAACTGATAGTGAATGATTGTCTTTGGCCCTGTTTGTCTTAGACATAAACCAAGAGGAAATCTATTAGTTTTGTCCTTGAAAAATGTCCTTTCTTCACTGTAAAAACGTAACCCTCTGGATTTTGACTTGAAGGATCGTTTACCCTCATTGAGTCAAATGTCCCCTGGAGAACTGCTCTAGTGACCTTGTGTTCCCATTGTGTTGTTGTGTGAGTGAGCGCCACATAGTCTTGGCTATATTTTTATCCAAAATCAAGAGATTACATTTTGCTTTTTGTGTAATGATAATTCACATTTCATTGCTTCATCAAAATGAAGCTTTGGGACATTAAGATTAATTATTTTTGCTGTTATGCAATTAAATTCAGCATAAAATATTTATACTTTTGCATTGGTATTATTGTTCTTATTATTATAAAAAAATGGACCCAAACTATTTTCATGCAGTTCACCTGAACATTAGATTTAAATTGCTATTGACTACACTGACACTCTCAGTGGTTTGGGCCACAGGTAGTAAATGTCCCCTGGTTGAAGTGCAGAAAGTAGTTAATGGCTTAACCCTCTTATCGCAGCTAAGGTGCTCTCCATGACTCAGCTGATAATGAGGTTGGGTTGTTTTTAATGGGCTTGGGCGTGAGCAGCCTCGCTGTAATGGACTGGGAGGATGAAGAACAGTCCTCATCATCTGTGTCTGCTGTAGGTTATCGTTTCTGTTACAGCATCTGGTGTTATTGGATAAGACAGATGGGTTTGTGAGTAGTGGTGAAACGATACCAAAACATCAGTAGTCGATACTAATAACAGTGTCACAATTCTTGATGCAAATTGGCTACCACCGGAAAACAGATATGCAAATGAACAAACTTCTTTACTGTGTGTTAATGTAACTTTTTTTTATATAAATTAAGCATGTAGTCTTCAAGTACTTCTTGAAAATTTTTCAGTTCAAGACTTTTATTTTATTATAAAATAATGTATGATATATATTTATTATTATTTTGTCCCTTTATTTGCTTACATTTATTTTAGACGTAACAAACTGTTTATATTAATACCTTGCCAAATGGCCATTTTAACCAAGAAGCAGACACGTAGATGATGACTTTTAACAACAATTTGGTACCAAAATACCATTTCCTTGTGAGTATTCCTTGTGAGTATTCTCACATTGGGTATCTGATGTGCTCAGAAACCCCAGCACACACACAAACACATACTGACGGCAGCACAAATGTGGAATGCCGGGGGTTTGAAATTGCAGTCCCCATAGAGCTGTTTTGCAGCGCTGCCCTGTATCCTGGAGTCTGTCACACATGAGTCATACTGCATATATCATTGAGAGAGGGAGAGAAGAGGAGGGAAGGGAACAATACTGCTGCAACACTTTGAGAAAAGAAACAGCAGGAAGTCAGTATTGAATATTGATTTATTTCTTGCTGCTTGATTGCACAGTGCTTCAAGGATGCATTACACAGCAAAACAATGCATATGCAAGTAAATCATGGCACATTATTTTTCCTTTGTTTCGAGTCATTCACTCTGTACACTGTATTTCTCTCTTGCAGTGTCACTCAGACTTATGCAGAAAACCAAACATTCATCTTATCTCCTCAATAAAGACTCTTCAGTCCTGTGGCATTAGAAAGGCCTTGCTTTCTGACGTTGTTCTGAATGTTACTAGACATTATTACATTAGGCGCATTAGGTCAGTGTTCAAATGACAGCTGGGTTTTCTCCAAGCTCTGACTGTCCTGTTTGTTTCCTCTGATTGGTGCAGAGTGCCCACTTGGAGTTGATAGATGCCTTAATGGCAGTGGGTGCCATGGAGACGGTGAGCACAGTCTTGGCGAGCAGCAGATCAAAGCTGCTTGGTACAGATGCAACCTGGGACAGAGCCCTGCTTTCCTGGGTGAACACGGTGAGTCTTGTAAAGAACCACATCAACAGAGTTTCTTGGAGCTCAAACAACTCTTATAAACTCTCAAAAACCTATAAATCAATCTAAAAACTTTAATTTACAATATTTAAAAGAGTAGTAAAAAAAAAAAAACTTAATTTACTTCATCATTTACTCACTCTTATGTTGTTCCAAACCGTTGAGCACAAAGAGATGCTTAACATAATATTCCAAATATTTTTAAGGTGGGGAACATTATCTATAAATAACTTAAAATTTCAGTCTGTTTCTCACACAGAGCTATCAACATTGCTTCAGAAAACTTGGAATATAGTCATATGTATGAATATAGGACTACTTTTATTGTACTTTTATGGTGCTTTTTTGTCATTTTTGGAGCTTGAGAGCTCTGTCCCAATTCACTTTAATTGAATGAGAAAGCGCCTTGAATATTCTGTGTTCTATGGAGGAAGCAAGTATGGAACAACATCAAGGTGACTAAATAATTTTTATTATTGGGTGAACTATACCTTACACTTTCCTGTTTACATATACTTTCTAAACTCGAATATACAATATTACTGGCCCTAAAATAGAACCCTGTGGAACACCTTCACAAAAGACGCTGTGGGTGTGGTCTTCAGCAAATAAAGTCATCACTTTGATTTTTACTTTTGATGTCATGTCATTGTCATAAGTTCTTTTTTGTTTTTCTTTTGTGTAGCTAAATCAAAAACTGAAGGAACAAACAGAAGGTACACAAAATGATGCATCTCAGCCTAGTACTGAACCACAGCCTGTTCAACCTTCGGTAAGAAACGGTCATAAACAAACAGACAGACTTGCTCACGAAAAAGCTCAAAGGGCGCATGTGTACAATAACTTGACCCCTACACCTCTACACAAACAGTCACTTATTTCCTTAGCAGCACTATCTTTTTCCTCAGGCTCTACTTTGCTGTCTAAATACCTATCCTATCCTCTTCCTCCTCCTCACTTACCTCGTACCTCGTTCTCCTCTCATGTTCCTTCACTTCTTTCTGACAGTGTCCCACCCGCTGGTACTGGAAACTTGTTCCTGTAAGTCTTTCTATTGTTTTCCATTCTACCCTTCTTTCCTCCATTTTCCTGTCCTAACCCCATATAAAGCTGTCCTCTTTTGCCCCCTGCTGGCAGTACAAATTGCATAGATGGAATTTGATTCCTTTGACCTGTTTGAGCAATTAATCTAAAGCATGTCTAAATTTTAGAGTCCCCCACCATATAACATGCTATGACTGATGCATGTATTACATGACAAATTAAGTATAATAATATTGTCAATGCCTTGCAATATACCTATAGAATAGTGTGGAGTTTATAGTAATGGAAAATAAAAAGTAAAGATGCAGCTTTTTGTTGATAGCCTGTTTATCTTATCATGGCACGTATGTAGATGTAGTTTCATTGCATCATGTCCTTGTTCCTGCACTGTAGATTGTGCATTTAAAAGTTACATGGATCTCTTGAGGAACATGAATTAGATTTAGATATATCCCCTGGGTGAACCAAAATTGGAGTCAAAGACAGTATTGTTTAGTATCGCAGTTTTCTGAGAACACCTCTTAGATTAGAGGTGTTGTGTCAGTTGTCTCAACATCCTGCATCATCATTTGCATTACAAAAAATAAGCCAGAAATAAGCATGGCATGTAAATTAAACCATAGTCTATGGTGGTTAAGTGAATATAGTGTGTCTGTTATTAGTGCGCTTATCTGCTAGTGCATGTTGTGTGTATCAAGTTGAAAAGGTCTCGGTTGATGTATCAGGTGTTGGCTGTTCACACAGCTGCCTCTGTTCATTGCTCTGACCTGTTGAAGTCTTTCAAGTGTTTGCTGTCCCACTTCCCATTAACAATGTCTTTGCTGTTCTTCGACGTATGTCTCATTCGCTTTTACTGCATTTTGTCTTCATGCACTGCTTGCATGGATTCTTTTGTTTTTGTGGCTGTTTTTTTTTTTCTCCGACATTTATTTCCATCTCTGGTTGTCTTTTGTACACATTTTTAATTTAGTGTTTGTATCTTTGATATGGATATGTTTCCATCTCTGTTTTTGCAGTTGCACATAATGGATAACAAATTTGTGATAGTGTACTGTCACTCTTTAACAAATTCACTGTCTACTGTCAATGAAAAATTAACAATTTCACAGTAACAATATTGAGTAAGCAACATAGCACTTTATCCAATATTGCAGTTAAACCCAATATTTTTCTTGTTCAGATCCGGTACAGGAAGGACAGGATGCAGTCTAAGCTCAAACCCTATTTTCCTGTGGTGAATGAAGTGAAGGATCTCTCAAACGGATGTGCTATTGCTGCTGTTATTCACCATTACTGTCCCGGTCTACTGAGATTAGAGGGTATGGTGACATCTCAAATCAGAATTTGTCATTTTGTAGATGAGTAAGAAACTGATTTCTTTTTTTCTTTTTTTTTGTCCTATTAGATGTATGTATGAAGGACTCCATGTCTGTGGCTGACAGCCTGTACAACCAACAGCTGATTCGAGAGTTCTGTGACAGCTGTTTAAAGAGCTGCTGCCCTCTAGTGTTGGAGGATTTGCTCTACAGTCCAGCAGAATTAAAGGTGTATATAGAAACCTAAATTAAAACACGAAGAGGAGAGGGAGTCTGTATAGTGTAGTACAGTTAGTAAAACAAGGACAGATTATGTACTGTGTTTGTTATGTTAAAATATGCTTTTAAGTATGCAGTAGGCCAGTGCACAATGTCGCTTTTTTTTTAATTGCAATGCTGAATCAGACACATTTAGATTAGTCTTTAGACCGTTCAGTAACAATAAACGCTGAAACATCAACCGTGGATTCTCTTCACATGATTATATTGAGATAGGATCATCAAAATATCTTGCAAATAAATATTTTAATTGTGCAATATCAATGGAAATAATCAACCATTATGATTTTTGTAATAATTAAGCAGTACTATGGGACATACTATGGTATTTTATATGTAGTGTATTTTTCTCTTTTTCTAGACAAACATACTGAGCTTTCTGGCAGAGCTCTTGTATTGGTTTGAGGTCTCAAAGCCAGAGTTTGTTCAGCCCCTGCAGGACTCTGAGCTGACTGGTAAGTGTGTGTCTCGATGAATGAATGGTTTATTTTCCTGTAGATTTGTAAATTTGTATGTTCCTTTTTAGATTTCTTAAGTGACAGTCTGTTAAAAGGGATATGTAAGATAAAGTACTTTTTTATTCTTGTAGACACATCTGAAAGGACCAACAATGGCAACAGTGGGTCCAGCAATAGGTACAACAGAATACATTTTTGGCATTTGGTTGTTTAAAAGCCACATATATAATTTGCTAAGAATGCACAAAATTTAACCCAATCAAATTTTCAAAGTTTTTTTTTTTTAATGATCACCTAAATGAGCCTTTAAAATAATCAAGGCTGAACCTTAACATGATTTACTTGTTTTTTATGTGCAAGTGGTACTCTGTCTATCTTCAAAAAGCCTTTCCTGCCCATTTCTTCTTCCCCTGTGACTGCAGCAACAGGTGAGGAAAACGTGTTGTCACTCTGTCCTGAGTCATCAGTTGCCATTATGTATTTGTTCCATTCTTTGTAATATATGTAGACGCTGCGTTTTTTCTTGTTCACATAAAGGAACAATCACATGGTCTGTGTTTGCATGTTGAATGTGTCATCCAGTCATGTGTGTGTTCGTGTTGTCTCTATGACCAGGATCTTTGACTCACTCTACCTCAATGTCTCATGTAGAGGCAGCAGGCCGAACATGGACTAAGAAACCACTTAGGTAAGGTACCTCAGTGTTTTATGCATTTTGTCTTTTCTTTTCTTATTAATCCTTTTTGGAGGAATTGATCTTTTTTCTTCACGGCTCTTCAGCCGTCCCTTGTCTGCTGTGTCCTTTAGTATTCCTTTTGGACTGGATAGTGATGTGGACATTGTGATGGGGAACCCCGTTATAACTCGGTCTGTCAGTTCGGACAATCTTAACCCTGCTGGTCAATCCATGACACGTGTCCCCTACACACCTCCAGAGGACCTCAGCCACTTGCTGAGTAAGGCTCCTGGGCCTAATTGCCCTCAAAGAGCTTCCTGGGCCACTCAAACTCGTCCAATGCTGGCTGAAGAGAACGGCATTGATGATAGTGAAACAGGAGAGCTACCAACAATTGAAGAGGCACTGCAGATCATCCACAACGAAGAGAAGATGGAGCCTCGCCTTCACCCGGACGGGGCACCCGATGGTTTCTACCTGCATTCACCAGATGATCCAGCAAATGCTAGACTCAATGGCAGCCCAGTGACACTCAGCTCTTCAGCACCATCCCGCTCAGGAATGCTCTACAACCGATCCTCTGGAGTCCCGCCAGAGCCCAGCCGCACCAGACACCCCTCAGAGGGATCCAGAGATGACGACTCTGTGTTAAGAGATGGAAGTGTGGATTCGGATGCCTCAGAAGATCTTCCAAAAACTCACTCCACCCCTGCCACACCCGCCTCGGCTCCTCACATAACAGGACCACGTGGTGAAAAGACACCGGATAGCAGTGTTAGGATGACCAATTTTGCCGAACGGAAGAAGAAACTTGTTCCAGAGCAGGTACAACCCAGTGAACCACAGGCACCACAAATGACTTCATGGGCCAAGAAATCAGAGGAGAGTCCCAGTAAGAGTCCTGCTCTCAGCACTGAAATGTCAGAGCTGGGGGCAAGGCTGGAGGAGAAGCGGAAGGCCATTGAGGCACAGAAGAAACGTATAGAAGCCATCTTTGCCAAACACAGGCAGCGGCTGGGAAAAAGTGCCTTCCTACAGTTAAAGAAGGAGCAGGAGGATGGGGATGGTGAGGAAGGACGTCAAGGGGAGGTTGGCTCCTCCTCCATAGAAGATGACCTCAGCTGTTTGGCACTGGAGGAGAAACTGGCACGTTTAGAGAGAGAGGAGCAGCAGGATGAGCAACAGCAGGAACAGTTGAAAAAGGGCCCCTCAGTAGAAGAAGAGGGGAATATCAAGCCCTCTGTCCAACAGGACAATCCGGTAGAGAAAGAAAAAGCTGGAGTAGGAGTTCCTGGAGGAAAAGGCACGGCCCCACTGGGAGATTACAACAACGCTGTGTCTAAACTAAGTGCTGCTCTCAATTCTCTCCAAAACGATATGCAGCGTCTCTCGGCGCAGCAGAACCAGCTGATGAAGAAGAAGTTAGCTCCTAACAACCAGGCCTGCGGCATCCCACCCAGCTCCAAACCCTCAACAACGACACCTTCTCGTTTGTCAAGAGAGTCCAATCGTGACCTCCCCTCTGCCTCTTCCTCTCCTTCCCCATCTCGCAAGATTGCAAGTCACACCGCTCCCCCCAAATCACCTGCGTCCCACCGTAGGGCACAGTCTGCTCCTCCAAAGAGCCCCAAACTGCATCACCACCCTCGACCTGCAGAGCTAAAGACTCCTGCTTCCACAAGATTTATAACTCCCCCTCAAAGTGTGGACAACATTCCTCATTTGCGAAGAGGGTCCCCGTGGCAATACAGGGATCAGAACTCATCCTCTTTCAACATAGGTACCTCCAGTCAAAGTGAGACCTGCTCAGCCCCGTCCCTGGCTAGACCGGAGGACAACATTTCAGACACAGGCTCCAGTGAGGACCATACAATCTTCAGTATGGAACTGGATAGCGGATCTTCACAGGTTCTGCCCCGAAAGGAGCGTCAGGGTGGCGGCAGCAGCTCAGGAGCTCCTTCCGAGTGCTCCTTTGAGAGTGACGTTCCTGCAGCGGCATTCAATGGCAAGCGCAACAGCCTTATCGAGATCTCGCTGTCCTCCCTCAAAGCATTAGAGGGTGAAGAAGCCGATCAGAGCCAGGATAACTTCTCAGATTCAATGAGTGACCAAACAGAGCCAGAAATTAGGGGTGGAGTTGGATTCTTCTTCAAGGTTAGGGGAGAATCACATGTTAAACTTGGAGACATTTAGCCTAAAAGGTGTAGCCTTTATTTAACTGTCTGAAACTCTCTAGCAGGATGAAGCTCGACCTGAGGATGAGATGGAGAGGAGAAGAGCAGCATTACTTGAGAAACAACAAAAGAGAGCAGAGGAGATAAAGAGACGAAGACAGGAGCAAGAAAGAGAGAGGGAGGCAAGGTAAGGCTTACCCACGAAGCTGTGGAAAGTGACAGCTATGTGTAGTATGAATGATGCCTCAAATTTTTAGGCTTATTGAGAAGATGTTTCATTTTACTTTCTTGGAGGTTAGCCTTTCATTGAAGGAGGGGTCTGAGCCATATGTGGAACAAGGGCCGAAACAGTGCTGAAACAAGTCCCTTAAGAAAACCCTTAGTTATCACAGTGTAATAAACTTAGTTATAATGCTATTAAGATTATTATCACTAAGTGTTTTCTTATAAGGGTTTTGTTGAAACTGGAGGCAGAATATTATTGAGACTTGGTTGTGGAGTCTTTTTAACTTTGGCCAGTTACTACCTAGCAACCACCCACCCCTTGCAACTGCATAGTAACACATGGAAAACCACTCAGAACACCTTAGCAACTGCATAGAAATTTCCTGGCCACTTACTGTGGGTGGTGGCAAGTTTTTTTTTTAATACCATCTAATGGATTCAAACTCAATATGTTAATCCCTGTATTACCATTTGGACATTGTGCCCTTTATCAATGCTGTCTATAAATGTAACAGTAGGTCATCTTCAGTGGATGAACCTTGCAGAGGAGAGGATAGACCCCGAACTCCTTCTACCCCTCCGCCTCCGCGCACCCCACCACCAGAGGGCACTCCTCAGCGGCGTGGAGACTTCACCCGCCAGGAATATGAACGGCGACAGCAGCTAAAAATAATGGAGAATCTAGATAAAGTTCTCCGCCAGAAACCCACTACAGTAAGAGGCGTCAAGAAGCAGAGGCCCAAAACAGTGTTCAGAGATGACTCTGACCTCTCCCGCAGCCCTGCCAAAGGGTTTATGGGTAAGTTATTGATCATCCGGAAGCTTGTTTCCTCTCCATTGATAATCACAGTTGGATAGACATATGTGATAGGTCAACTCTTTTCTCTCTCAGGTTCTAGACTAAATAAAGTTTATTCCCATTCAACAATGAATCTGTCCTCCATGGCCAATGACAATGGGACGCTAACTGTCAGAAAATCTCCAAGGTAAATCTAATCCGTATATGTTTGTCTGGTAAAACACCTGCTCCCTATTGTGACCTCATCTCTAAACATTTATTCCTTCCCACAGTCGTTCTCATTCACCATCCAGACTGCTATCTCCAGGCCGTCTTGCTGCACAGAATGGGGACTGGGAAAATGCATCTACTATTTCATCCCCAGCCTCCATCCCAGAATATACTGGTAAATGTTAAAAATTACATGATTTGTAGTTTTGTTAGTGGTGCTTGCTAAAGCATTTCCTCATTTTTGGGGTTAGGCATTTCAACAACCTCAGGTATTAAATTTGGCGAACTACATATTTGACACAGTTTGGTGATAAATTACACCGCAAATCGTGTGACTTTTTGAGGAGACTAAGTCTCATAGACTTTCATAAACTCAAGCCATATCTCGAGACTACAATATATATATTTGGAGATGGGCTGTCTTGATTAGGGGCAGTGAACAACCTAGTAACCATCTAGCAATGTCTTAGCATAGTGGATTGCGAGTTTTGCATGGGCAAGTACCATTTGAGTTTAAAGATTGTTTACATTAGGTCATGTGATCAAAAACTTACTTTGACTTTTTGTGCAATAACATGCATTTTTGCACTTTTCGTTTTAGGACCGAAACTCTACAAGGAGCCAAGCTTCAAGTCCAATAAGTTCATTATCCATAATGCAATCTCTCGCTGTTGTTTGGCAGGCAAGGTCAACGAACCACAGAAAAACAAGATTGTAGAGGTGAGTGACCTGTCAGTCAGCCTATCTAGTACAGTCCGGGCTCTCATGACTCAACACATATTTGCATGGGGCATTTGAATGCATGATGTAATGGTCTGCTCCGTTCATTTGTATTTCCTTCTTGTCTGCAAAAGGAAATGGAGAAAAGCTCTGCAAACCATTTCCTCATTCTGTTTCGGGATGCCAGCTGTCAATTCCGGGCGGTTTACACCATGAACCCCGAGACGGAGGAGATGGTTCGACTCATAGGTTTCGGGCCACGTGTTATCAATCCCACTATGGTGGAGTCGATTTACAAGTACAGCTCTGATCGCAAGCAGTTCACGGCCATCCCGTCCAAGACCATGTCCATGAGCGTGGATGCCTTTACCATTCCCAGCCACCTATGGGAGCGCAAGCGCCCGGGAACCCCAAAGAAGCTCGGGACCCCAAAATAAACCCTGCTGGAAATGCCAACTATGCCTGAGCTGGCCACGTCACCCTGGGTTTCTGTCCTCACTCCAGCAGAGTCGCGGGGCACCAGTGGAGTGCATGCCGGGAGAAAGAGTGGGATAACAAAAAAGAGGCCCTAATACAGAAAATCCTAAAATTAAGTGCCCTCAGAGGTTCATGGCTGGTGACTGTGCAAAACCTCCCTTGTTAACTACAGGTCAAGTTACAAAAATGTATTCAGAAATCTCCATTGCCATTTTCTTAAGGTAACTGAAGTGAACTCAAGTCATATTTCAAAGAAAAGGGCCTGATTGGTTTTCTAAGATTGTACAAAATGTATCCTTGGCATTTTAATGTTAAAACTTTAGATGCAACTTTCCAGTCTCATCTTTCAAGTAAAATGAATGTCCTCCAGAAAAAGATCCTCAGAAATGTTACTATCTTCCAGCTCCTTCCCTCACTGAACTGGATCCGTTGACATGTAAAGGATGCCCCAGATGAAATCGGATCTTTGCGCTTTGATGAATGTAGGGCACAAACCAACACAGGCCTTCTTATCATCTGTTTATCGTCATCAGCTTCTCAAGTCTTAAGGGACTGAATGTAGAACTGTATTACAAGGGGCGCAGCCACTCACCTTTACTTCACGTCATGTGAAAAAGTCCCATGCTGCTGTCCATTTTGAGTCTGTCTTGCTCTGTAATCAAACCGCTCTGTCCTTTGGCCTTCCTAAAGCCAGTTGTAGATTGGATGTTTGTTTTCTTAATGCTTCGGACCTAATCTAACTGGATGACTCAAGCTTTTGGACCACAGGAGAGTATGTTAAAGACCCAAATATTTTTCCTTCCCATTTGCTTTAGTTAAGAATGAATGAAAAAGCGAAAAGATGCCAGAACATGCTGTTGATTTCCATTAATGATACTCAAAAAATGAAGGAAGTCTTTTTATTCTGTTTATCTGTAACTGGAAAAGCAATGTAAGAAAAAAAAAATCAAGGCTGATTTAATATACTGTATATTTGAATGCTGTTTATTGCTGATTCTTTCATTTTTGACACTGATTTGTATATTGTGGAGATTTGTAAGCAATTAATAAGCTACTCTGCTGCTTCACTACTAGAGCTGGATGTGCTGGTGTGAATGAGTGTGTGAGCGGGACCGGGGACAGAATGAGACCGATGGTGAGAAACAATAAACTCAAATCTGATATCAACTCTATGTACCCAGAGCTGAGTGAACAAGTTGTCCTCTTTGGTGCCCCAACATGCAGCAGCACATAGTGATATACCAATAGTGAACACCAACAGAAAGTGATATAAAAACAAACATTAAAAGAAAGTGATAAAAGGCAGATGAGCAGCCCTGGTGTCTGCAGCCTTAAACGCTTATGTTGTTTCTATTACTATGATCTATGAATAGTCTCAAAACTGTCTAACTTGGCCTTATTTGATTCGTGGATGGCTTGAAGTTGTCTTTTTGGATAAAAGGGGCATTTAGTTTGTTTCTCTTCATCAAAGCACTAAAACAACTGATTCAATCAGGCCACCCTTTCCTGTCTTTGGAGAATCAGATGAAGTACTTCACAGATTTGCCGTAAAGATGTACATATTTTAGAAAAAAAAAAAAAAAAAAAAAAAACTTACGAATTGGTTGAATGATATGTTTCTGTGTCAAATGAATTGGAGATGTGTAGGTTGCTTGTGTTCGTCTGTTGGGTAAAACATGATGGTTTAATGTAACTGGATTCTGTGCAATTCTGTAGAATGTTAGGTCACCTAAGGTGTATTTATTGGGTAAGGATGAGCTAGAGTTTTCTGTTTTGTTTCAGATTTTATTATTTATGTTCTGGCAAATGTGGTGATTCACTCGTTCATTTCAGAAAGCACATTAATGTTTTGTATCTTTTAATGTTTCCATGTTCATGTTGGTAGTTTTTGTTTTCTCCCAAATTCTTTGATTATGGATCAATCCCATGTGACAGGATTAGAAAAATAAAATCATTTTTATATAATCCCAATTATTTCTCATCATCACTGATTTTACTTAAGTTCTATATGTTATATACATTGTATCAGCTTTTGTTGCCATTTTATGAAAATTTTAGTTTTTACTTTTAAATTTAGATTTTTTTTTTCACATGTCCATTAAATACATTAAATAAAATGTAAAAAAAGAATAATTAAAGTTATGAAGTAACATGAAGTAATTCTGGATTTTTTTTTTTTGAGAAATATGACTTGGACATGATCTTGATTGGCTTCATGATCTTCAACCTTCTATAGCTGCATTCTAGACACCGGACACATGATATCATCAGACCATAGAAATATATACAGACACTTTTATTAGAAACTCAATCCTGTAAACAATTAGAAAGATTTGTGATGAGCCTCTGTGTCTGTGTTATAGAGATTACAGTCATATTTTTATACAAATGGCAGTTTGAACACTTGCATTTTTGACTGGACGTGATCCATAACTGTAAGTTGAGTAGTAAAAATAATATGTGTGGATGTGCTTTTCATCTAATCTCATAATACCTGAAACTAGTTTTTGTTCCTATTGTTTGTTTGTTCTATTTTTAACTAGTACAGCCAGCCAATGATGACGACTGGACTTGTTCAAAGCTCAAAATTTTTAGATACCAGAGGGCAAATATATGAAAGCATTTCCAATAACAAGCTTTATTTTGATTGTGTCTCATGTGTGCTTAGCATGAAGCATTTCAGTCAGCAATGAGTTGCATGGCAGATCTCCCAGCAGGTGGCGATGATACAGGTATTCCTCCACCTGCAGACTGATGCTGCGCACCTCTGGTAGACGGAGCAGCAATTGTCCAAACTTGTCAGAGTGACCTGGGTGGGTTTGCATAGTGTGGTCCATCAAAGCCCTGTTTACACGCTCTTGAGTTTGTTCTACCTGCCTTTGATCCTGTACTGATTTAACATCTGCAAAACACATGACCCTTTCAACTCTGGTCCAACAGGAATCATTTAGATTAAACATTTAAGAAGGAAATGAAACTCACCTGGATTGAAGAGAACCAGATATTTGAGACACACAAACTCCTCTCTGTCTAGCTGTAGTGACCTAAGCTTGGAGACAAGGTCCTGGGTTCTGGACATCAAACTACTAAGAGTTGCTCCAGCCTGACTGAGGATGGTTGATACCTCAATCTGGTACAATAAAAGTAAGTCAAAGACAATGCAAAGACTAACAGTCACTAAACTGTAACTATGGCGAAGTGTAGTGTTTCCCAGCCCTGTTCCTGGAGGCACACCAATAGTACAAATTTTCCAACTCTTCCAAATTCGTATCACCTGATTCAACTTATCAGCATATTAGTAGAGACTGACATGGATGGGTCAGATATGGGAGATATCCAAAATGTGACCTGTTGGTGTGCCTCCAGGAACAGAGTAGGGAAACACTTGTTTAGTGATAGAGGTGTTCTTACCTGTTGTCCAGTAATCAGACAGATGCTGCCATCTCTCCCATAAGCCACCTGCCTACATAAGTGATCCAGGACAAGAAGCTCACTCCAGCAGCTCTGCAGTAACACCATTTGGTTCTCCACCTGCAACAAGAGATCAGGTACTCTATTGATGCAGCAGTAGCCACTTGGAAAACTTATACCGGGGTTCTTAACTCTGGCTCTTGAGGTCCACTTTCCTGCAGTGCTTACCTCCAACCTTAATCAATCTCACCTGTCAGTAACGTTCTAGTAATCCTCAAGACCTCAATGAGCTTGTTCATGTGTGTTTGATTAGGGTTGGAGCTAAACTCTGCAGGAAAGTGAACCTTGAGGGCCAGAGTTGAGAACCACTGACTTAGACAATTGGTACTTGAAAGGCATTGCCTTATGAAAGAGTTACAAATGTTAACCCTATCCCTGCTGATAATATAAGCATGTATGTTGTTCTGGACCCTAGGTCCAAGCATGGGATGCTGGTTTCCCCACCAGGCTTCTAAAACAGGGAGATTTCTTGTTACTAGTTTGCAACTTTCACCTGCAAGTTTTGCTGGTGGACAGTATGGCCATGGTGCTCCACTACTTAGAACTGTATCTGACCAGCATTAACCATCTTAAACTAGGCTGGTACAATAGCCAAGATTTTGCCAAATAGGACATGTCTCTGGATCAAATTCCTAACATTTAAAGGGGTCATATGATGTTGCTAAAAAGAACATTATTTTGTGTATTTGGTGTAATGAAATGTGTTTATGCGGTTTAAGGTTTTATAGGTAAAGGTTATATTTTCCACATACTGTACATTATTGTTTCTCCTCTATGCCCCGCCTTTCTGAAACGCGTCGATTTTTACAAAGCTCATCGGTCTGAAAAGCAAGGTGTGCTCTGATTGGCCAGCTATCCAATGCGTTATGATTGGCCGAATACCTCAAG